ATGCTACAAACAAGACGTGAGTCTCGACAGAAAGGTCTGGAAGAACAGACGCGGAGAGACCGCAGTCGCGTGGTTCAAGTGTGTGGTGCGCTGAGGGGCAGGCGACCACCCCCCCTCGCTCAGTGGCTGTTTCCTCGGTGGGGGGCAGGGAGGGGCTCCCGCTGCCTCTGAGCTGATTGATTTCCTGCACTGCCTGGTGTCCCTGGGGTGATGGTCACAGTTCACGTGTCGACCTGACGGGGCCACGGGGTGCCCAGATGTTTGGCCAAGTTGTTCTGGGTGTTTCCAGAGGAGGTTAAGATTTAAATCGGTGGACTAAGCGAAGCAGATTGCCCTCCCTAGTGTGGGTGGGCCTTGTCCAATCAGTTGAAGGCGTGGTGAGAAAGCCTGACCATCTCCCAAATACCAGGGAGTTCCTCCTGCCCGCTGCCTTTGAACGGGACGTCAGCGTCCTCCAGGGCCTCAGGGGCTGGCCTCCGGGCTGGCGTCAGGCCACCAGCTCAGTTCCCAGGCCTTCAGACTCACCCGGAACGAACCCACCAGGCTCCCTGGGGGTCCAGCCCGCCCCGCCCACCTGGGGGGTTGTCGGGCTCGGAGCGGCCCGAGCCGGTTCGTCCTGACAAATACGTGAGCGTCTGGGGGTTCTGTGCCTCTGGGGAACCTCGACCACTAGGCCTGTGTCCTGAGTTACTTCCCGTGCCGCCTGCGTCACGAAACCTTTCGTGATGCGGTTTGAGAGGAGCGGCGACAGAGGAGTGCCGGCCGCTGTGGAGGTCGGGTGCAGCGAGAGCCAGAGGAGCCGTCAGGTTTGGCCTGTGACAGGCCAAGGGCCACCTCTGCTGGAGCAGACGGGGGAGGGGGGGCTGCTCACAGAGCGGAGGCAGCGGGGCCCCGGGTGCGAGGACACCCCCAGCTGTGGGGGAGCATGTCTGCAACGGGAAGGTGAGCCCGGGTCCGCGCCGCAGGCGGGCGCCGCTAGGAGGAGGGGCTCACACCTCGGTGGCTCCGCCTCCTGAGGTCTCCAGACTAACTCTGAGGGAGTCTCCACGTTCCTGGGCCCCTGCGGCGCTCCTGGTGAGGACTGCGGAAGCCTTGAATTTCACACCTCGGGTGTGCAGAATGGCTTTCCAAACACCCGGTCCCAGACACAAGAACTCTAAGCGGCCGCTTGGGTTTTCCGAAGAGCATAGGGCCAGCCTCTGTCCCGGGGAGAAAGCTCTCGGAGCCTCGGCCGTCACGGGGCGGCCCCCCGGCCCCCTGTGGGTTGTGTGGGGCGGGTGGAATAATGGGGAGGAGACCTCGTCCTCCCCTCCAGCCGTGTGGTCTCGCTCGCAGGTGAGCTAAGGGTTCCCGGCTGCAGGCCCAGGGCCAGGGGCAGCGGGGCGGTTCCAGGCCACGGCTGCTGGCTGGTCTCCCTCGGCCCCGAGACCCCGTCTGGGTGTCGTTCTCATTTCTTCTTGTCCCACCAAAGGCGCTCCAGACGCCGGACCCACGGAGCAGGGGGATTCCGAGCGGGTGTCTGGCCCCACCCCTCCCAACTTGGATGGGTCCCAGGGCTGCCCCGCCCTCCCCGGGGCTGCAGGAAGCAAACCGCCAGCAGGGGTCAGCAGCGCCCCGCGGGTGGGCCGGCCGGCCGGGGCGGCCTCCGGGGGGGGGTCTCCACCCCGCCAGGGCCTTGGCACCGCTGGGTCTGCGAGTGGAGGCTCCGGCCGCCGGGCCCTGAGTGGCGGGGGGGGGGGGCGACGGGGAGAGGCAGAGACGTGCAGGCGTGAGCCCAGACGGCCCGCCGCCAAGTCCCCATCTGGTCCTCGCCCCGAGGGGCGGTTTCACGAGCGCTGGCCCACGCGACGCCGCCGGCAGCTCCGGGCAGATGTCCTCCTGGACGTTTTCTCAGAGACCCGCGGTTTCTGGACTCGCTCCGCGGCCGGGCGCTCGGGGCACGGCACCGCCCAGCCAGTGGGTGCCTGCTCCCATGGCGCGCGCCTGTGCACGCCCCACGCAGGCTGGGCGGGGGCTGGCGAGGTCCCCTGGCAGCCGCACCGGAGTGAGGGCGGCTGTCCCTGGCGGGCCCAGCCCCACGGGCCCCACATCAGCCTTCTCCCAGCCCCGGGGCTCGGGCGGCCCTGCTCCACGGCCCTGGAGCAGTGTCCCCCCCCATCAGAGACAGCTGGAGGGGCCCCCCTCCAGGCTTCCGCTGCTCTCCTGGCCTCTCTGCCCCCCACCCCCACCCCCGTGGTGGCGGAGTGGCCTCAGGGGCCCAGCTGGGGGAGGGGCCCTGTCTGCAGCCGGGACCCCTGCCCCAGCAGCCCCCAGGCGCTGCTGTGACCGATGCACAGATGCCACACCTTCCCACCTGCCCTTGGGAAGGAGGGCTTGGGCCCAGCCCAGGCACCTGGCCTGCTTTCCCGGTGCAGGGGGTGGGGGCGACAGCAGCTGATGCAGACAACAGGTGCGGCCCGAGGCGCAGCTGCCGCTGGGCGCACAGCGCCGCAGGGAGAAGCTGCCGCAGTGGCCATCAGTCTCCACACACGGGGCGGCGGGGCGGGCGTGTGGGAAGGCCAGGGGGCGACAGAGCCCTTCCCTGCGGCCCACACGGCCACCGGAGCCCCTCTCCCTGCACCCCAGGTCGCCTGCGCCCCACGTGGCAACTGAACGCGGGGACCGGGGTGCTTCTGGGTTCCCACCCTGGCCGCAGCAGGTGCTGGCTGGGAGCCCCAGGCCCCTGACCCCGTTTCCTCGCCCATAAACCGGAGACTGAAGTGGCGCCTCCTCCCTGGGGCTGCCGTGGGGGGGGTCGGGGGGAGCACCGGCGCTCAGCACCTTCTCCAGCACGGCCACGCGGGGGGCCGGCGCCGTCCCTGCGGCCTGGCCCCTGCACGCCAGGGACTGGGAGAAACATCTCTCCTCAAAAGCCATCTTTGGAAAAACACAGCCAGACTCCAGCTGATCTCCTTCCCGGTAGCGGAGAGGGAGGAGGAGCGAGGCTTCCCGATAAGGCAATGACTGGCTCACTCCGGGGGAGCTCTCGGGACACCGTCGGCCGGTCCCCACAGGCCGCGTCCCCCAGGCCCTCGCCAGCTCCGGCAGTGCACACGGAGCGCCCTCCCCACCAGGGCCCCCGAGGCCCGTCCTGGGCCGGAGTGGCCGCCACAGGGACCGGGCTCTGCCCACGCCCCACTGATGCCAGGAAGCCCCCCCGCCCCCCCGTGATGAGTGGGGAGCGCGAGCTTGTCCGTGGCCGGTCAGAGCTGCGCCTCTCCATCCTGAGCTTCCCAGCTGGGAGCCCGCAGCCCCTTCGGGTGGGGACGCGGGGCTGGGGTTCGGAGCTGGTGCTTCTGCTCGGGCACTGTGCAGGCCCCCCCCTCCTCCGTGACCCCCGAACACCCCCAGCCCTGCTGGGGGCCGCTGGTGTCCCCCGGGTGTCCCGACCCCCTTGCCAACGAGCATCAGCAGACGGAGGTGACACTCGTCAGCAAGCGCTGGCCCCCGTGATTTCCCACTGGGCCTGGAGGGGGGCCCAGGGCCCCCAAGGACTGCACCTCAGAAGCTTGAACGGCATGTTTCAACGCTCGGGAAAACGCGGCCAGGGCGGCCCCCACCTCCCGCCGGGGGCCTCGCCCAGCGCTCCGGGAGCCAGAGCCAGGGCAGTCGGTGGCCGGGGCCCGGCCCCTCCCGGGCCACAGGCTCCGAGGCCCGCAGTCCAGCCAGCGCCCGACTGCTGAGACGGGCCGGCACGGGCCCAGGGGCCCCGAGGGGCAGGGAGGCGGGCAGGGACCCGGGGAAGGGAGGCCGGGCCTGGACACGCCTGTCGCTCCCCACCCTCCTCCGCTGGCCCCCCGAGGCTCACGCTGGCCCAGGCCGGGAGGCTGGCGGGCGACACTGGGCTGCCGGGCGGCTGTTTCGAGACCCCTTTGCCACAGTGGCTTCCGTCCCGCTGTGAACTGTCTCCCGCCCCCGGGGGTCGGCTGGAGCTGCCCGTGGAGGAGGGGACCCGGGAGCCCCTGCGCGCCGGGGGGGCCTCAGGTGGGCCAGAGGGCCCTTCTAGGTGGCTGGGTGGGGTGGGGACGTGGCGAGTGACCGGGGCCCCTGCAGGGGGCCTGAAGCGCACCCCCAGCCACCGGGCTCTCCGCCCCGCCCCGCCCCGCTCTCCTCTGATCAATTTTCATATTTCAGGAAAATCCATTCGCTTGATTCAGAGCAACTGAGTCATCCGCGCCGGGCTCGGAGGAAAGCTGCTCTCAGCGGCACGGGCGCTTGGCCGCGGCCCCTGCTGCGGTGGGCGGGGGGGTGGGGGGGGAGGCCTGGCAGCGCTCTGTCCACGGCCGGGCCGCCCCTACTCAGGGGCCTGCCCTCACCCCGCCTCTCGCCCCAGCCAGACTGGCCTTTGGTCCCTGCCCCCGGCCGTCCCCATGCTACTGTGGTCTGTCCATGGGGCCCCGGGGCAGGGGCAGCGGGGGCTTGCAGGACAGCCCTTGTCCACGGGGAGACCACACCCCACAGAGCAGTGGCTGCAGCCCTTTCCCGTTCCAGGGAAAGGGCGTTGTCCCAAAACCAGCCGAGTGGGTGGGGGCCCTGTGTCCAGCCCTGGCCAGCAAGCCCAGTGTCTCCTGTCCTGGCGTCCACGGTCATGTCACTGTGACCTGACCCCATGGGGCTCAGGCAGGCCCAGTGGGGGCTTGTATCCCCCCCTACCGGGCTCCCTGGCGCCGCAGGGACGCTGCCTTCACCCCCTTGGGCCCCAGCGCCAACCCCTCCGCACCGGCCGGGACTCAGCCTCACGTTGGTCCCTGGAGCTGGGAGTCTGGGCCCCGTCTGCTGGGCCCCTTGCCCCCAGGTCCCCTTCTGCCCTCCTCCGCGGGCCCAGCCGGGCGCCCCCACGGCCCTTTGAGGAGGAGGGAGGGGGGCAGAGTCGGGAAGCGGGAAGAAACCGAGCGTTTTACTGAGCACCTACTAGTGCCGGCCCTTCGGGGCCCGCGCTCTGCTCCGACCCAGGCGCGGGCTCAGAGTGGGACTCGGGGCGGGGGTGGGGGGGAGGGGGCGGAGCCAGGCGCCTCGGCCAGGCCCGCGGCTCGTCCGTCCCCGCGTCCCGGGAGCGCAGCGCGGCGGAGCGCCGCGGGTCCGGGCACAGGAAGGGCTCCATTGTGCGCAGGCTTCCGCCCCGCCAGCCCGGGCCCCAGCCCGTCACCGAGCAGCCGCCTTTCCGAGGCCGGGAGGCGGGGCGGGAAGGCCCAAGCGGAAAGGGCCAGGGGATGGCTTCCCAGTGACCAAGTCTGGAGGGACCCGGGCTTCCGCCCCTCGGCGGGTCCAGCTGGCACCGCGCGGGAGGCCGGCGGGGCGGTCCCGCGGCGGAGCGGCAGCGGCGCGCGCCGGGGGCAGCGGGTCACCAGGCTCCGCCCCGGCCCCGGCCCAGGGGACGCACTTTGTTCAGGACGCGCCTCCCTCCGCATTGTGGGCCGGGGCCGGCGGCCCGAGTGCGCGCGCGAGCAGCGCCCGCCCGGAGCCGCCAGGAACTTTCTCAGCGAGGCGAGGACGCGGGCCGGCGCTGCCCGGGATGCGCGACTGTGCGCGGCGGAGGCGCAGACCCCGGGATCCGGTTGCACAGGCGCGGGTGAGTGGCCCGCGCGGGGGTCGTCGAGGCCGGGGCCATCGGTCCGGGATCGGCCGGCATGTCCTGAGGGGCCCGGGCCAGATCTGGGGAGGTTCGCCCGGTGCCGAGGAGGCTGCGGGCGGCCCGGGAGGGGCGCCAGAGTCACACGCGGGGGAGCGGCCGCCGGGGAAGCCGGGTCGCGACGTCCGCACGGGGCTGCGCGTCTCATCCAGGAGCTGACTCACCTCAGCAGCCAACTCCAGCCCCCTGGGCCTCAGTTTCCCGTCCTGGGAAACTCGCGCCACTTAAAGTGCGCGGAGGCCCTGCAGTCGGAGACACCTAGTGCTACGTGGGCTCACGCCCTACCGCGTCGCCTCGCATCCCGGCGGCGGAGCGAGCGGAACCGCGGCCCAGAGGCTCCCTGGGCGCCAGGGTGCGCGGGGAAGGGGCCTCCGGGGTCTCCCCGAGCTGTGCTCCTCAGCGCGCGCCCAGGGAGCGCGTTCCCCGGGGGTGACCCGGGGGGAGGGGGAGGGGGAGGTCGGGGGACTGCGGGGGCCTCACCTGAGGGCGCTCCAGGCTCGCGCCCCGCGGTCCCTTCTGCCCTCAGAGCGGCAGAAACTGGTCGCGGGACGGAGCACCGGGCAGGTCTGCGAAGCGTTTGCAGGCCGAGGGGGCAGGGTGCGAGTGGGGGTGCGGTGCGGGGGTGACGTCCGCTCCCCGCCCCCCGTGAGGGTGTCTCCCCTCACCCCGCCCCCAGGCCAGCACAGGAGGACCGGCTGCTGAGTCAATGGGGCTCGGTGAGCCCGGCCGGGGCGCAGCTGGCGCCGTCCTGGGGGAAGCTGGGTCCCGGCCGCCTGCTGTGTGTCTGGCTTCCTGTTTCGGCGCTCGGGAGGCCATTGGCTCCTTCAAACCCGGGGCTGAGACGCTGCCGCCGGCCACGCTGCAGAGGCCGCCGTGCCTGCCCGCCCTCCCCCGCGCTGCGCCCCGGCTGCACGGGGTCCCCCGCAACTCGCTGACGGGGCGGGGGGCAGCGGGACTCACACAGAGTGCCCCCCCAGGGCGGGCAGGGGTGTCACTCAGAGGCCGGGGACGCAGGTGACCAGGGCCGTCCCCCGGCAGTGCTCTGGGTGGGGTGTGTCCTGGGCAGGGATGGGAAGAGCCTGTTTATGGTTTGTCTCCACCCCTTTTCCCCCTGGAAACATGGTCCCCCCGGGGGGCCGGGGGCTTGGGTTGCCTGCAGGTGAGCCGGCGGCCAGCCTTCGGCCTTTCCTGGGACCTCCTCGGGGAGCGGGAAGCCGGGAGAGACTGAAAACAGGAACTGTTTCTCCTCCCTCCCCAGCCCTGCCGAGGGCACGCAGGCCCCGCTGTCAGCCCGGAGGAGAGCGGGGCCTGGAGGGGAACTCGTGTCCTTCCGTGAAGATCCGCTGTCCCTTCATTTGCCCTTTTACCGGACCAGGGCCACTTCCCTCGTCCGTTCAAGCCCCTTTGAATTCTTCAAGGGTTCGGCCGGAAAAACGAGCGTGTCGAAGTCAGAAGGGTGTCTCCCCTCCCCCGCCGCTCTGCCCCGGCCCCCTGGGCAGAAGGGACAGGAGGGCTCAGAGCCGCACAGAGCTGGGCCCTGCTGGAGCCTGGCCCTGGTTCAGGAGCCCCCCGCAGGGCCCCCCCAGGCCGAGGCCGCAGGCAGGCGAGGCGGGACGGGGCGGCCGGCTGCAGCAGGGTCTGGGAACGGGCCTGCAGAGGCGATGTGGCGACGCCTGGCCAGCGCCGCACCCTCCTGGCCCCTGGTCACGGCACAGTCACGGGGAACACTCTTCGTTTCTCCTCCAACTTAACCACCCCCCCCCACGCTTCTCGTGCGAACCGCCCTCTTCGGGCAGCAGCTCCCGGGTCTTCTCGGGAGGCAGGGCGGCGCGGGCCAGCTCCTCCCCGAGGCCCGGGGCTTGGTGCCGCCCCCGCGTCCCGTCCGTGGCTCCGGGGACGGCCGGCACAGGAGGCGGCGTGGAGAGGCGGCCCTGCCTGTCACGTGCACGCCCCCCCGCGCCGCCCCCCCCCCCGCGCCCTCAGGCCCCTCCGCTCCACTTCACCTCACTACGAGATGTGCCCGGACGCGCGAGGGACCGCGGGGACGGCGCGTGTGCCTGTGCGGGGACCGTGACTAACCCGATGTTTCCGCTTCGGGGCACCCAGACGGCCCCGCTGCCCGGTCCCCAGGCGCTCCGGGGCCCTGTGGGCGGGGCTGTTGTGTCCCCGCCCCCCCCCCGCCTTCTCAGCGGGCCGGCGGCGGGCGCGGAGAAACACCCAGGACGCGCACGCGGGGGCCTGTTCTCCGGGTCGTCGCCGCTGGATCTGAGTTTCGTTCCTCGTCTTTGGCGCGCGTGGGTTCCTTGGGATTCTCCGTGTGTGGGGTCCTGTCCACCGCGAGTAGGGACAGTTTTTTACCTCTTTTCCAGTTCGGGTGCTTTTTACTTCTTCTCGTTTCTCGCCGTGGCCGGGCCGTGCAGGCGGCGTTTGGCAGCAGCTGCCGATGCTCAGGGGTGGGGGCGGGAGCCTCCCCCCCTCCCCCAGGTCACATCCCTGACGGGACGGTCTGTCCCGCGACGGGATGGGTGTCCTGGGTCGGCCGAGGATGCCCTCTCTCGAGCCGAGGAACTGCCCTCCTCTGCCCAGCTTCCTGAGTGTCATCGTCGTCTCGAGAGGAGGCCGGCGTGCGTGAGATGACTCCGCCCTCCGAGTCAGCGAGGCAGCCATGGGTCTGGGCGGGCTGCGCCGTCTGCCGAGTTGCCCCAGCCCTACCGTCCCGTGATGAGTCCCCTGTGAGAGCCCTTTGTGTTTTTAAATTTGCCAAGTGTCTGGAGACGGCGAGACAGAGCTGGCGCGCTGCCCTCGGGCAGGGGGGCCGAGGCTTCGCGCCCGCGTGTCGCGGTGACTGTGTTCACACGCCCGACAGTGTGTACCGTGGTGAACCTGGACGCAGCGCCTCTGGGCCGCCGGACCCCCGTGAGGAGGGCGCAGGTCAGCGTCGGGAGGGTGTCCACGCCATCTCCTGGACGCTCCCCAGACCCCGAGAGTCCGAGCTGCACGCCCCAAACCACAGCGTGGGACCCGCAACCCTTGACCCGCTAACTGCCCACCCCCCACCCCCGCCCCGGCCACCAGCACCACCCAGCTCGGCTCCGTGTGGATTTGCGGGGACTCGGTGGAGAAGTCGGGGCTCCCCGCTGGAGGGCACGCGCTGGGGGTGTTCTGAGCGGGGGGCTTCTCAGCAGCCGGGCTCCCCCAGCCGGGGCGCCGCTGTCCCTGGGGAGCTCCCCGGGGCGGGCGCTGGAAGCCCCTTAGTTTGTAGCTGGGCAGCGCCCTCTCAGAACCCCCCGGTGTCCCTCTGTCTCAGGTGTGGCTTCCCCGTCGGCGAGCGCCACCGCGGGGAACGGCTTCCTCGGAACACACCTCGAACGCAGCGGGACAGCGTTCAGGGTACACGGGGCGCGGCAGGTGGAGCCGCCTTCTGCAGGGACCTCGGGCAGCTGGGTGCGGCGCCCGGGCTCCGCCGGCCCCTCCTGCTCGGGTCCTTCCTCGGGGCTCGGGCCATGCGTGGGGAAGACGGGTGGGGAAACAGGAAGAGTCGGGGCCCAAAGACGAGCCAGACCTGGGGCCGGCTTTGCTCACGGAGAGCTGAGCACCCGGGGGTGATGGGCCAGCGTCAGCGGCGCGTTCCTCATCCTCGTGTGGGCCCCGCGGGCCCCTCGGGGGTCCCAGGCACAGGGGCATGGAATGGCTCACTCCTGCCGCCGGGTTCCCCCTCGGGCCTGGCCGGTCTGACCCCCTTCTCCCTCGCCGCCGCCCCCCCCACCGCAGCCACCCCTGCGACGGGGCCAGTCTGGGAAGCACAGGTCCCCCTCACCCTCCTCCTCCTCGCATGGCCCCCCACCCCCAGGCCCAGCTCTGCTCTGCCAGCAGGGGGCTCCTGGCCGCATCGGCCCTACCTGTCACCTGCTGCCAGCGGGGGCGGCTGGGCAGCTTGCTGTTCGGCCCCCGGGCGACCCGGGGACGGGGAGACGGAGGGAAGCAGAGCTGGGCTGCCCCTCCCGCCTCGCCCCACCATGTCCCCGTGTGTCCCCATGTGTCCCCTGAGCCTTCGGGGCCCTCACCGGTGACGGTGGAAGCCGGCTCCTGGCGTGCAGGGAGCAGGGCTTAGCGGGCCCGCAGGAGCGCCAGCTGCCTGCCTTCCCCCCCAAACAAAGGGGGGGCAGCTGCTGACACCCCTCCCACCCCTGCCCGTGCGGCCCGTCGGCCCCGCCCCTGCACGGTCGCCCGGGCCTCCTGGGCAGGCCGCCGGGCCGGGGGTTTTAGGAGGGAGTCAGCCCAGCAGGGCGAGGCCGCCACCGCCGGGGCTTCCAGGCAGTAGAGCCCTCCCCCCCCAGAGGTTCTGTGCTGACCGCCGCCCAGTCGGCAGAGAGGGGGAGGGACTTCTGGGCTCGGGACCTGTTCACGTCTTGCTACAGCGATGCGTCCGCCGGCCCGTCTGTCTGTCTGTCCGTCCACACGCGTGGATGTGAGGACACTTCCCTGCTCCCTTTGAGAGCAACCTGCCGGCGTCGTGGCCCCTAACCCCCAACGGCTCCCTGACTGCGGTGGCAACAAGGACGTGGCGACCTCGGTGCCCCGACCTCACACCAGCACCTCGGCTCCGGCAGCATGGCCTGGGCCTGGGCCTGGGGGCCTGGGCTCACGCAGATTTCCGGGGTGCCCCCCAGGCCCCCCTCAGCGAGCTCTGCACAGTCCCCGCCGCTGCAGCCGCCTGCGGCCGGGGCAGCTTTCTGCCCCAGAAAGAGGAAGCAGTCCGTGCCCTCCCCGCCCCCCCCCCGGCGGTGCTGCCCCGAGCGTGGAGCACGTGGGTCCCTGCGGCAGCCACGCTCGCACCGTGGCAGCCAGGGCGCCGGGGAGACACTGCGGCTCGGACGGCCTCTCTGCCGCGCCGGCAGCCCCCTCCCGGGCCGCGTGCCGGGGGCGAAGTGTGGGCCGCAAGACCTGGGCCTCCTGCCTGCCACCGGCGTCCTCAGGGTCTGGCCTGGTGTCCGAGGCCTCGGGACCTCGGACTGGACAGCGGGGGGGGGGCGACACTCCCCCCCCCACCAGGCCGGGGCTCAGCGGTGCTCACGGTCAGGACGGCGTGAGTGACACTGCCTGGTGACCGCCGTGCGGCCAGCCGCGGGCGACGGGGCCTGTGCGGCCTGCACGGAACGGGAGCAAAGTGCGTGGCCGGGGGAGGGGGAGGGGGAGGGGCCTGCGTGCCCCCGTGTTCCGTGGGGGAGCTGGGCGTCTGGGGCGAGGCATCCAACTCGGGGCTGAGGGTGCAGGGTCACCAGCAGAAGGAGCTGAAGCCCGACGGTGGGAGGGGCGCGAGGGGTTCGGCCGGGACCCGCCCCGTCTCCAGCCGTGCGTGCGGTGGGGGGACGGCAGGTGCGGGGAGCCCCCTGCGGCGGCGTGCTGGCCGGCGGCACTCGGGGGGCAGGGCGGGGAGAGGGGCCGTGGCCGGTTCTCAGGAGGTCCCCTGTGTGGTTTGGGGGTGGCGGCCGTCTCAGGGGTGCGGAAGGTGGGCTTCCCCGGCCGGTGTCCTGGCTGCTCAGTGTGGGGGGGGCGGGGCGGGGGGCAGCTTCTCTGAGCAGCTGAGCCCCAGTGGGGGGGCCGGCTGTCCTAGGACCTCGGTGCCCCCTGCTCCGCTCCTGGCATGCCTCCCTGGGGGAGCCCAGGACACAGCACCCCCGGATGAGACCCCCTCACCCCTCACCCCACACCCCACGGGAAGTGGGAATGTCGTTGTCGTAATAATTTTTAAAGATTTTTATACTTTTGCCCTGGCTGGTGTGGCTCAGTGGATTGAGTTCCAGCCTGAGAACCAAAGGGTCGCTGGTTCGATTCCCAGTCGGGGCACAGGCCTGGGTGGTGGGCAGGTCCCCAGTAGGGGGCGAGTGAGAGGCAACCACACACGTTGATGTCTCTCCCTCTCTTTCTCCCTCCCTTCTCCCTCTCTAAAAATAAATAAATAGAGTCTTTCAAAAAGCAAAAGCTGCTTGAAAGCACACCTCCCAGTGTGGTCACACAGAGCCCGGGGGCAGGGGTCATCTTCGAGTCCTGTTTCTCGCTTCCTCTCCCGAGTGGACGACCCCGGCCGAGTGCCAGCCGGGGCCTGGCTTCCTCCGGCTGCCTTCGCCACTGCTCTGGGCCCAGTGGGCTGCCCCTCCCTCCCCGCGGACACGTCTCCCGAGACGCCCCCCCATCTCCCCCCCCCCCCAGCCCTCCCTGCCTTCGTCCTCACCATGCGTCACCACGAAGACCCGGTGGTTGGGGCCGAGTCCCACTTCTGAGTCATCCCCCGACGCCCTGGCCGCCCCGGCCAGAGGGAGATCGGAGGCCGCTACAGAGGCCTGGAAAGTGACCACAGGGCCGGGGTGGCCGTGGGCAGCGTGGGCAGCGGGCGGGAAGGCCGCTGCTGAGCTGGCCGCGGAGATGGTGACATTCCTGCCGCCACATCCCTCGCAGACAAAGGCTGCTGTGTCTGGGAGGCGGCACGGCTGGGCAGATGCCGGCGGGGGTGGGGGTGCTGGCGGGCAGAGAGGGTCTGGGCCAGGCCCCCGGGGCAGAGACGGGCCCGCAGGCCGCACCCGGCTCGACGAGGCCCTGGACATGGCCCAGCTGGGGTCCTGCACGTGGTCGGGGTCTCGGATTCCGGGGGGGGGGTGGTGGTGGTGGTAAGGGAGGGGCTCGCCCTTGAGCTGAGAGACAGGCAGGAGTGAATGTCTGTTCCTTCACCCCGAGCCTCTGTGGCGTGCCCGCTGGCGCCCCAGTGCTCCCGGGCTGGTCTGGGGTCAGCCTGGCCTGCAGCCCCTGCAACGCCCCAGGTTGGGTCTCCTCGCCTGCAGAGCGGGGACAGTGGTGCCCACCCCGCAGAGGCCCGAGGTTGTCCTGGAGGGTGTCACCGGCACGTGGCACAGGCTGATGCCAGCTGCCCCCCTCACCCTGCGCCGGGTGCCTGTGGCTCCCTGCACACACGTGGTCCTTCCAGACCACGCACACGGGCTTGGCAGCGTGACTGGCAAGGGCGGGGGTGTCGCAGACACGCGGCCACACTTCTCGGTGGGTTCTCCCCGGACGGCTGTAGGAAGTGTGGCCCTGTCTGAGGGTCCGACGGGGGGAGGTGCATGCCCCTTGGGGGGCGGGGGGCGGGGTGGGTGGGTTGTGTTCGGCAAAGCCGCTCGTTATCTGGCGTGGCCGGCCCCAGGGCAGTGTGAACCGCCCGGTTCGGGGGAGGGGCCCCAGATGTGGCCCGGGCAGAGTGCAGGGGGAGGTGGGGGTTTGAAACGAGCTCAGCTGCGTGAGCCAAGATGCAGGCTGGGGCCGCCCCTCGGCCGGAGGTCCCCACGGACAGCTCCGCCTGGGCGCCCGGCTTCTACGCCGGGAGGGGCCGTGCCCAGTGGCCTGCGGCCCCAGCTGCTCCCTTTGCTGCCATCTGCCTCTGGGCAGGGGCCGGGCTGCTGCCGGGACCCAGCCGGGGCCTGAGCGGAGCTGGAGCGAGACGCCGGGTCGAGAGGGACGAGCAGAAGGTTGAGCCCCTGGCCGGTGCATCTGCAAAAGGGGGGCGGGGCGTCTCCTTTTGTTCTTCTGTGTTTGGGTTGCCGTGTCATGTACAGACACCTTCGCAACCCGCACCCCAGTCCCCGTGGAGAAACCCCCCCTCCACCCCCCGCCGTGTGAGCCAGTCCGTCCGTCCGTCCCCTCCCCGGACTGAGCGAGCGCTGTGTCCTGCTCTGGGGCGTCACGCGCACGGGCCCAGGCCGCGCGCCCCTCAGTGCGCCGGCCTCCTGCAGCCCCGCCCCGCTGTGGGCGGGGCTCCTCGTGCCGCGGGGCGGCCGCGTCCCTCGTCTCTGGGTCGGCACGCGCCGCAGTCCGCCTGCAGTCCCTTCGCGCTGGGAGCCGCGTGCCCCCCGTCCAGAGGGCGTCTGCGGGGTTGTGAGAGGCAAGGGCAGCCGGACGTCCGCCGTCCACAGCGTCCCCTCCTTTGTCCCCAGACCGCTGCCCCCATCCGGGGCGGCCTCCTAAAGGCCACACCACAGTTGCTCTTCTGTCCCTCGTGGACGGGGACCCACCTTCCCCTCGGGGGCTCCTCGTCTGTCAGGCCGGTGCAACCACCTGCCAGTTTGCTGGAGCTGCCCCAACACAGCTGGGGGCTGAAACCACGGAAGTGGACGGTCATTCTGGGAGCTGGAGTCACAGGCCAAGGGGTGGGCAGGGCCATGCCCCCTCTGAGAGCTGCAGGGCGCACCCCGGTGTCTCCAGCCCCGGGTGTGCGTGTGGCCGGCGACCCTCATCTCCCCTCCCCTCTGTGCCCTGAGCTCCGTCTCCCTGCAGGGACGCCTGCTCGTGAGGCCACCGGACTCCTCCGTGACCGCACCTCAGCTGACTCATGGTGGCCCTGTTTCCCATCAAGGTCACCGTCCGAGCTGCTGCGGAGGGTTAGGGCATCAGCTGCCTTTTTTGGTGACTCAGTTGGATCCGTGACATGCCACGCGCCTCTCGGGCCGACCGACGACCCCCACGAAGCCCGTGACAGCTGGGCCGCGCGAGGTGGGCAGGCTGTGGCCCGGGGAACGGCCTTGACCGCCGTGTGTCCTGTGCAGACTCCTCCCCTTGGAGTCCGGCTTCCACCTCTGATCTGGTGTCTGAGTCCTTCTCCCCATCTTGGTCCTGGGCTCCGGGGTTTGGAGCCCGCGGACCCCGGAGCGCTGGGGCCCCTGGCAGACGATGGAGGTGGGGGGGGACCGATTGGAGTAGTGTCCTTGCCCTCACCCAGGTGCCCAGCGTCCTCCCACTGGCGGCTGGGACCCCGGCAGGCCCCGAGCGTCCAGATCTCCGGGCACCCCATCGCCCCGCCTGCAGGGGGGCCAAGGAGGAGAAGTCCCCTGGAAACAGCGCTCGCGAGTCACAGGCCCCCTTCCTGTTCAGGAAGCGCGGTGGCCGAACCGGCAGGAAAAAGGTGTTTCCGAGAGACCGAGGCCAAGAAAGGGAGAGGGCGCGTGGGGGCGGCTGGGGGAGGGGCGGCTGGGGGAGGGGCAGCAGGCGGGGCTCCGCGGGGTCGCCCCTTGCAGAGTCCACGGGAACAGCCCGTGAGAAGGGACCTGGGGGGGGCTCTGGGCGGGGAGACGGGACTTCGGGCCCCGAGAGGACTCCGGGGGCACGTTCTGCCGGGGCGTGGGCGCGGGGACACGGGCGCTCCACGGTGGCTTCCCGCCAGCTGCAGCCTCAGCTCCTGATGGGGGGGGCGGGGGGCGCTGAGGGCCGCAGACAAGCAGAGCGGGGAGCAGGGTCTTGAGGGGCCGGTGAGCCGGGGCCCAGGGGAGGCCAGGGCTGCGCGCGCGCGGAGAGGGACCGGCCCCCGGGTGGGCGCAGTCCGTCCCCGCACGGCTCTGAGGACGGGGACCCGGGGCGGCCAGGGGGCCCCGATAAAGGCCCCAGGCGGGATTCTGGGAAAGGGAGGGGGGTGCTGGACCCCTTTGTCTGCGCGTCCTGCGCCTCCCGCCGCCGCCACCAGAGGGTGCACTTGCCCCGCGGAAGCCGGCGGTCCCCACCCTCCCGGGCGCGGGCGGCCCGCGGGGGCAGCAGCGAGCCGGTTCGGCGGCGGGCGGCCCAGGGCAGAGCGGGATCCGAGTCCTCGCCCCGCGTCGTCTGCCTCCGGTTTGCGGCCGCACCGAAAACTCCCTCCTTCTCGCTCTCGGTCCGTCTCCCACCAGCCGCCGCCCTCCCAGCCCCAAGTCAGCGTTCCCGCCCTCCTCTCTCAGGCCTCCCCTTTGGGGCCGCGGAGCCCACTTGGGGTCTTGGGTGACGGCGGGCTGGGGTGCTCTTGGCAACAGCAAAAGGTCCGAGGGTTCCCAGGCTGGCTGCTGCTTCTGGAATCTTACGCCCTTTGGGCTATGGGGCCGCCCTGAGCCTGACCAACCCTTCCCCCCCCATCAGGCAGGACAGCTTGCCCGGGGCAGACGGCTGAGTGTCCCCAGGCCGCAGCGGGGATGGCCTTGGCCTTCCTGGGCCAGCGGCCCTGCCCTGGGTGGTTTGGGTGCCGAGGGGCCGACACCCCAGGGTGAGGCCCAGGAGGGCTGGCTGGAGCTGGCCCGGTTCCTCGCCCCCACACCCCCGAGGGCCCTGAGAGGCAGGGACTCGTGAAGCCTCGCCTCCTGCCCCCTCAGGGCCCGAGTCGCTGTTTCCGTGGAAGGAGGCCGGGCTCTCGAGCGTCTGGGAGGGTCTGGGAGGGTCTGGGGCTCCTGCCCCGTGGCAGCTGCCCGCCCCCTCTCCGCGGAGCGCTTCCTGGGGACAGAGGAGCCACGAGAGCCCCGGGACGTGTCCCCTGCGCCCCGAGGCCCCTCGGGTTCCGGCGCAGTGAAGGGGGGGCCAGGCTCCTGTCCAGGCCACTGGGGGGACGTCACAGAGTGGACGGTCAGCTGGGGGCCCACGCTCGGCATTTCTAGGGGGCTGCCCCTCCCTTCCGACTCCCCCCCCCCAGGCTCTCCTGGGGACCCCGGTCACTCCCCTTCCCACAGTCCGGGGCTTCGTGGGGGACTGGCTGGTGGCCGGCCTGGGCTGCGGCCTCGTCGCCCTGGGACGCACATGCCCCTCCGGCACCCCTCTCCTTCCTGCCGCCTGGCGGCTGTGGGCCTGCGCGCACCGAGGGGCGAGGGGTGCGGCGTTATCTCCGTGCCCCAGCGTCTCTGCTGTGGGAACCCGTGATCAGCCGCGTGGTCTGCGTCCTGCCGCGCTTATCTTCCCCGGCCACAGGGCCACCTCCTCCCTGGTCGCTGTGGGAGGGCCCGCCCTGGCCCCGGCCCCGGCCCCCGGAACCCGAGGGGTGACCGACCAGCCGTTCCTCACGGGGCCCCGATTACGATCTGCACCCGGGTGGTGGGTGGAAACCGACCCCTCGCCCTGCCCTTCCTGTCTGTGTGGGAGCACCGGCCAGCACCCCGCCCGGCCCACAGGGACCCCGTTTCCTGGCACGGGGCCTCCGCGCTGTTTTCTCGGGCTGGCTGCCCGCCCCTGACTCTGGGGCAGCAGGGGTGGGGTCAGAGCGATGGGGCTCACAGCCCCCAGGGGCCGGGGGTCTGCCACCCCTCGTTCGGCCTGTGGGCAGCAGCGCTCAGAGAGGCGTCTCGGGGGTCACTGTGGCCTCTCGGAGCCACCGGTGCGGCCCTACTGTGTGCACGGTTGACACTGATGTGCCCGAGGGGTCCAAACAGGGGCACGGAGTTTACAGCGAGCCTGGCTCGGCCGCTGCCCAGCCCGAGGGTTCCTGCTGCCCCCCCGCCACCCCAGCTGTGCCAGGGCCCGAGGCTCCGCCCGCGTCACGGTGGGAGCCCAGGCCACGCACCCGGCACGTCCGTTCTCCGTGAGGCGCAGAGCGAAGGTGCCGACTCGCTCACGTGAGGGCACGGACTGGGAGACGGAGCCGCACCCGGGCTCTGGCCACAGCATTGGTCCAGCTGTAACCCCCCCCCCCCATCGTCTGAGAGTGGCCGTGGTGTCAGGCCTGTGCCGGCTGGTGGCTCCGCGGCCTCAGCACCCCCTCTGCACATGGCGAGGTCGGTCACACACACGCACGGTCTTCGTGAGGCTGCACGCACTGAGGTCACACAGTGTGTCTGCACGGGGCCTGGCCCGCGTGCGCCCCAGGGAGGGACGCCTCTGCTGGGCCCTCGGGCGCTCGGCTGCTCGGGGACCCTGTTCTCTCGCGGGGTGTCTGTCTGGCCTGGAAGTCCACAGGGGCCTGCGTGCACACGGCCGTGTCTGGGGTCCCCTGCGGGACACGGGCCCTGGCAGGAAGGTCAGACGCAGAGGCCGGGAGCGGTGGGCCGGCGGTGCGCAGGGGACCCTTCCTCGGCCCCCGGAGCTGCCTCCCGGCTGCTTCCCGTGAGCAGGGCCCCCGGGTGGGGCCGGGTGTCCCCTCCCTGCACCGGGCACCCCAGGCCACGCCCTCGGCCCCGTCTGCAGCCCTGCGGACAGGGCAGCCCTGGGGCAGGCCTGCCTGGGTGGACGGCCAGACCTGGCTGGGGACGCTGAAGCCCGCCTGGGTCTGTGGCAGGTCCCACTTGGTGCCCAGGCCCCCCCCCGGTGCTTTGGTTCACGAAGGGGTTCCATGACTGACACGGCCACGAGGCCCCGGAGCAAAGACCCCAGGGACCTCCCAGCACCCTCTGTGCAGAGAGAGCCCCGCCCGCCTGCCCGCAAGGGCACCCTTCGTTTCAAGGTCACGGCAGATGTCCGTCTGGGCACGGACGCCCTGCAGGCCCCGGCAGACTGCCAAGCGTGTGTCCACACTTAGACAGACAGTCAGACAATTAGACGATGCACTTTTTAAAAACTGGTCTTTTAGAGAAAGGGAGAGGGAGGGACGGAGGGAGAGAGAAACATCGATGTGTTGTGGCAGTTACTGATGCATTCGCTGGTTGGTTCTTGCATGTGCCCTGACTGGGGATTGAACCCACAACCTTGGCGTATTGGGACGATGCGTGAACCGCTGAGCCACCCGCCAGGGCTGCACTTTGAAATTCATGCGGGAAGAGTCAGGACAAGCCAGTGCGGCCTGCGGACCGGAACCGGCTCTCTGTGCGGAAGGACACTCTGGACAAGGGGCAGAGGCTGCAGAGGAGACAAGGACTCAGGGGCAGCAGGTCCCTGGGTCGTTTCCGCCGGCGAGGGTTGTGTGACTGGAGTGGGAGGCGCTGCCTTGTGGCAAATGAAACTCGAAAGGGACCGGGGTCAGGGCGTGTCGGCAGCTGACCCTCAAACGGTCCAGGGGGAGACGGTTCCTCGTCCTAAGACTCGGGACTTTCCTCTGATTGTAAGACGACTTCCAAAAAGTTCACCGAGAATAAATCCGTAGAGGGAAAAGCTCTGTGAAGAACCAGCCGGCCTTCCGCGGGCCCTGCTGCAGCCCTTCCGCCCTATCTGGGGCGCCCGCGGCTCTTGGGGGGGCGGTTTGCACCATCTTTTCTATTTCGGGCCCGTCTGAGCTCACAGTCTCGCGGCTGACACCAGGCATTGTCCGAGGGTATTTATATCCCGAGTCCCTCGGCTCCCAGGTCAGCCGGCTCCACCCCCCCCGCCCCGCAGAGCCCCGTCAGTCCGTGGAGAACTGGAGCAAGTGTGGGGGGGTGCTGCTGCGGGGACGGGTCCGTCCGTCAGCTTGGGGAAGGGGTTTACGATGAGCAAGCGCAGCAGGAAAAACAAAACAAAATCGTGCCCCGGCTGGTGGGGCTCAGCGGACTGGGCACCGGCCTGCGAATCAAGGGGTGGCCGGTTCGATTCCCCGTCGGGGCACATGGCTGGGTTGTGGGTCAGGTTCTCAGTAGAGGGGTGTGCAGGAGGCAACCTCACACTGACGTTCCTCTCCCTCGGTCCCTCCCTCCCTTCCCCTCCCTCTGCAAATAAATAAATAAAGTCTTGTCAAAACGGAACAGAAACACGTGTCCTGGTAAGGCACTGCGTGGTGGGGCTGCCCAGTCTCTGCTCCCCTTGGGGGCACCTGGGGCGGGAGGCTGGGGGGCGGGTGGTTCGCCCCAAGCCGACTGGCCGTGACCTGGCTGAAGCTGCTGCCTGGACTCAGGAGGGGCCCCGGGCAGCCACCTCCTTACCTGAGGGGCTGAGCAAGGCCTGCTCCCGGGGGCCCGGGTGTAAGGGCATGCCGCCTCACGGGGTGGCCCCTGGCGGGTGGCCTGCTCTCCACCGTGAGCCCTGCGGGTGCCTCGGCTCTGCACTGACCATGTCGCCCGTTGCTAAGGCAGCAAAGCCCTCGAGTTTCCTGAGCATCAGGGGGTCTCAGTGCCCACCCCCACCCTGGCCGTGGCCACCCCACACTGCCCAGCAGGAGGTGCCCTGTGGCTGCCCTGTCCTGGTCCAGGGCCGTGTCCACCACTGTCCAAAACGGCTGTCACCCCTGGGGAAGCTCCACGGGCGAGTCCTCCCCTTCACAGTCCACAGTCAGACTTTGTGTGAAGCCCCCGATGTCGTGTTTACTCGCGTCCGTCCAGGTCAGATTGCACGACACAGGCACAGTGCCCGTCCCCGAGGGACTGACCGTCTGGGACGGACACCCCGACTCGTTCGGAGGCCACACGACAGCTGGACGTCAGGCCGATGCGGAGCCCAGGGCCCGGGACCCCGGAGCGTGGGCTTCTGGGTGACACGGCTGCTAACCGAGGGGTTCTCCTCCTGCTGAGAGAGAGTGCACGCGTGTGCATGTGCTGTGTACACACACGCGTGTGCACACACACAGGCCGCATTCCCACTTCCTCAGGGGGGAGAAGGCAGGGCAGAGGGAGGGAGGGGACCTGGAGCAGATCCGGCAGGAGGGGCCGTGTGACCCCGGCGACCCTGTGTCCCGTGCAGCCCGGCCCTGCCCTCCCCCGGCCAGCGCTGCCCCCTCCACTGTCCCCGCCACACGCCCTGCGGTGCCGTCAGGACCCTCGGTAATGACAGAGGGAGGCCCAGACTGTCCTCTGCCCCGGGCCGGCTGGCCCTGGCCCCGCGGCCGGGCCCAGATGTGGCCGCCCTGGGCTCGGCCACAAGAAAGGCCGGCCCAGCCCAGCCACAGGCCTGGCAGCTGCGGTGGCCGCCACCGAAAACCCTCATTTCCCAGAGGGCAGCCCCGCCCACCCTGCGGGGCAGGGGGTGGGGGTCAAGGGGGCAGCTTGTCTGTTGACCTCCATCTGCCCTGACCCAGCCCTGGGCCCCTCGCCCCCCACCCCGGTCCAGCCCAGTGCACCCCCTTCTCTGGCCCAGGGGGTCCGAGAGGGGCCGTGAGCGGTCGGACGTGCCGGAAGAGTCGTGGGAGGCTCCGTGCCAGAGCGCTCTCGTGCGGGGGTGCCCCTCGGTCGGGCGGGCCGCTTGCCGTCGGTCACGACCAAGCCCACACACGTGCACTGAGGGCACGCCACGTGGCAGGCCACGCGGGAGGCGGGCGACGTGCTCCGAATGCCACCGGGAGCGCTGGGGATGACGAGCTCCAGTTCGGCTCAGTGAGTCGCTTCAACGTTCGGGCTCCGCATGAGTGACGAGAGTCTTGACCGTGTTTCCGACAGCGTTCTGTCTTTAAAACAAACCGCGGCGAGAAGCGCGCACTCCGCGACATCGTGGGCCAGAGGGGCCGTGCAGAGACGCGCACTCCTGGGTGCGCGCGCCGGGAGAGGGCATCCCGGCGGGGGGCAGCCGGTGCAGGGGCTGAGGGGGCCTCGGAGAACCCAGGGCAGGCTGCCAGCTGCGGCCAGGCCCGGAGGGCGGCGGGTCATGGTGTCCAGGCTGCCCTGGTGGGGGGATGTCGGCTGGACAGACGTCTCCGCGGACACATAAAGCCAGAGACGGAGCTGGACGTCACCACGCAGGCCTGGCTGTCAAAGCCCCGGAGAACTAAGAAGAGGACGGACACGCTGAGGGAGCCAGGAGGGCGGGCGAAGCCGCCGTGAGCCCGCCTCGGTCCACCCACCGCGCAGGTCCTCCTCCGTGTGTCCGAGAGGGGAGACCACCCGGGCCGTGCGCACGACAGGGGAGCCAGGACCAGGGGAGAGCGGCCCCTGCCCCTCCGCGGGGAACAGAGGAACCTGCAGCCGCAAGGGGCTGGTCCGCCAGGGCCTCCTGCTGGCGCCGTCAGCCAGAGCCCAGGCCCCCGGCAGGAGCTGTGAGTGGGGGGGGTGGGGGGGACAGGAGAGCCACCGGGCTGAGGGGCAGGACGCCCGGGAAGGGACAGTTCAGCAGCGTCCAGCGCCCCGGGGGGCCAGCTGAGCTCGAAACAGGGCCCCTGCATCCGGATAGTTGCGGAGCACCGGGGACTCAAGGAAAGAACTGAGGGCCAGTCGGGCCCCGGCCCCGGCCCCCTGACCAAAGAGCCGGTGACACAGGCCCAGGGCCGCGTCACCTTCTGAAATCCAGACCAACACCCCCGCCGACCTGAAGCTCTCGTACCGCCGGCCCCGCACGTCCCCGGACACGTCCCCTGTCACACCTCTGAGACGGGGGCCTGCGTCCGAGTCAGCCTGGGCCCCCACAGCCACTGTCCGAGCTGGCCCAGCACGGTGGCGCTGCACTCCTGGGGCGCAGCCTTTTGGGGGTTCCTGCCCCCTCCCCGCCAGGACTCCTTCGAGTGCCGCCCAGCACGCTGCACGGGTGGCATGGCCCTTGCTCCGGAGCCTGGGCGGAGGGGGCAGAGGAGGGGGGGGGTGCAGCCTGGTGCCAGCGGTGCCGATTGTCAGGACCCCAACAAGCGACCCTGTCTCTCGTCTGCAATTAAGACAGAAGCTCGTTCTCCCCCCTCCGACGGCCTTCTCTGGAGACTGGCACCTGCAGGGCCCGGCAGGGACGGGTTAACCCCTTCCACTCTGTGGCCGCACGGAGCCTCAGGGCCAGAGACGCGGCCGCGGAGGCAGCTGGGCCTGGGCGTGGCTCCGAGACTCGCTGGGTGGCCTCGGGCCAGTGCTGGCCCCTCCTGGGCGTTGGAAAGCCTCTCGTTCCCCTTCTGCCTGGCAAGGTGGGCAGGAGAGCAAGACGCCGCCCACCTCGCCAGCCTTCCCGAGTGACCGAAGGAGCCCTGTCCCTGTTCAGGGCCGGCGATGCCTCCGGGAGTCACGGCCCTGCCCAGGAAGCCCGCACACCCCCGACAGCCGGCAGTGTCCTCCCGGAGGCGCGGGGACGTGCGGAGGGTCCGCAGCCCTGCCCGGCCTTGGAGGCGTGTCCTTGGGGGTCCTCGGTGTGCCCCTCGTCTCCACCCTGGAGGGTGAGCGGCCCGCTGGGCGGTCTCCAGAGCCTTCCCAGCGAGAAGTGGGGTCATGCCCTGCGGGGCGCAGGGGCGCACTGGGGCGCACACGGGAGGGAACTCGTCCACTGAACTCTGCTCCCTCCCGGGTCGTCTGCGTCCGTCTCCTTCTCGTTCAGCGCGATGTCCGAGGCCGCAGGTCCCGCACGTGGGGGTCTCGGGCTCCAGGCCACGTGGACGAGGCCGCAAAGCCGCCTCCTCTCATGATACCACGTCCCCGGGCTGCCCACCGAGGGGCTCCTCCCAGGACCACGGGCAGCTCGGAGCGGCAGGGCCTCCCCTCAGAGTCGGGGTGCGGTTCCGGCGGGCGGGACGGCCCGGCGCTCCAGCCGGCCCACCTTCTCCGAAGACCGGGCTTCGAGAGACCCCACAGGACAGGACGGGGGGCTGCCGGGGCTCAGCGCCCCCACTCCTCTCTGGGGGACAGAGCTCCCCAAGGCTCCCCCCGACCCTTGTCTCACTCCCAGAACCAGGGGGTCCAGGGAGAGAAGGGGCAGAGGCGGCGGCTGGGGCAGTGGTCGCCCCCCTGCAGTGAGGGACAGGTCTGTCAGGGGAGGAGTTTGTGCGGGGGGATGGGGTGGGGGGGGTCTGTCCAGAGGTGAGGAGGGGGAGGCCGTGAGCCCAGCACCTCTGAGTCAGCCCAGCCCGGCCCCTCGCACTGGGCGGAAGGAGGGAGGGTGGACTGGGAGATGTGTGTATGCAAATGTATGCAGATGTATGCAAATCGCCGCAGCTCTGCAGCCGGCTGCTGGTGCCAGGAGGGAGGGAGAGCTGGGCCCCACCAGGGTCACCCACATCCCAGGTGGGGCCACCTCCCAGCCTCTCCCTCTGGAGCACTTCCCTCTCGGGCCCCACCCCCACAGGAAGTCGGGGAGGTGAGAGAGCTGAGTCACCAGGTGCAGAAGGGAAGAGACAGGGCCCCCCCCCCCCCCCCGCACTGCAGGTGACAGCACCTGGAAGCCACAGGGCCGGGCCACCGTCCCCCAGGCTCTAGGCCACAGGTCCTGCTCAGCCCCAGAGAGCCAAGTGCCACCCTCGGGTCAGGGCCGCCAGGCCCAGGGCCTTCCTGGAGGAGGGGGCGTTGGGGCTGTGTTCCTCAGGCCTGCCCCAGGAGGAGCGGGGGGGGGGGGGCGTTGCCAGTGGGAGCTGGTGGGGAACGTGAGGGGGGCTTAAACGCCCGCCCTGTGGCCCAGGCGGCAGCATGGAGGCTCACAGCGGGAAGGGGCAGAGGGCACCAGGCCGTCGGGATGGGGGCCAGCCCCACCTCGGAGCCCCCAGCTCTGCTCTCAGACCAGGGTGCATCCAGTGAAGGCCTCGGCTGTCCCTCCCAGAGCCTGCCATCCAAGCCTGGGGCCGTGTCCCCTCCGGGTCACACCGTCCCCCCTCTTCCTGGCTGGGCCTCTGCGGACTCGGTTTCCGTGCCCGGTCAGGGAAGGGGGCACGGTGGGGGGGAGGGACCCAGCCTCACCGGCAGGGCCTGGTGGGAAGGCAGCGCCAGCCTGGGGGCCCTGGCGCCTGGGAGCTGGGAGCTGTCCAGCACGGGAGCCTGCTGAAACCAGCCGGGCCTGAGGAGGCCTCTGGGGACAGGGGCGGCTGCTGTCCCCAGGTGCCCCCTCTGCTCCCGCCCCCTCTGCTCCAGGCACGGACAGGCCAGCTTAGAGGGTCAGCTCCAAGCCTGGGCGGGGTGGGGGCGCCGAGTCTGTCTCTGACCTCCACTCACCTGGCCCCGCCTCCCGAGACCTCACGGGCCTCTGGCCACCTGAGGCAGCAACGGGACAGGTGGGGGCCACTGCACACGCGGTCATTGTGAGTGGGCGGGCCTGGGCGACCGGAGGTCCTCTCACCTGGGAAGGGGTTCCAGCCCGCTGCCCTGAGCAGCACCCCCGCACCCCCCAGGTGGTCACTGTGCGCCTGCCACCGGCACGTCCCTCCGGCCGCCTGCACGTCCTGCCCGACCAGCGTTCTCCCCGTCCAAGGCGCCACCTCACTGGTCCAGCCGCCTCCAGGCCCGTGCCCAGCAGCCCTGGCATTAGGGCGCCCGGAGGATGGCTGGGCCACACCCACCCCACTCCCCCGAGTGAGACTCAGGCAGGTGCCTGCCCACCCTGCCCCGGCCCTGGGCCGAGGCCGGGCTCCGCCCTCCCGCCCTGCGGAAGCTCTGCCCAGCCTTCCACCTGCTTCCTGTTTGGTGTGGACGCTTCCTGACCTGCTTCCTGGCCAGCTGTGGCTCATTTCCTCCTCCTCCTCGCCCCCTGGTGTGCCGCCTCCTACCTGCCCACACCTCACCCCCACCCCCGCAGGGCGCTGGGGTGTGGGGTGGCCCAGCATCTGTGGAGCGTCAGGCACTGTAGTGGGTGCCAGGGGTCCAGGCTCGGGGAGACTGCGTTCTTCAGGAGGGCCACCAGGGAGCAGGATGGAGGGGACAGGGGGTCTGGGAAGTCAGAGCGGCAGGTGCTCCGGGGCCCCTTGGCTCCCCACAGAAGATCAGGGAGGCCTTCCTGGAGGAGGTGATGTCTGAACGTCTGAGCTGAGCACCTAGGATGACTGGAAACTAACTGAAAAGAAAGGCTTGAGGCTGCCGGTGTGCAGACACCCGAGAAGCTGTTTGGTGACGCCCGAGGCAGGGTTAGCCACGTGCAGGAGGGCCCCGGGGGCCCCCGAGAAGCCTGACCCCTCATCACACGGGGGAGTCACAGTCAGACCTCTGTCTGGCCTCGGGGCAGAAGCGCTGTGTGGGGCCCTGGCCGGCCTGGGGCCTGGAGAGCAGCTGACGAGAAACAGGGAGGGGGGCACAGCGCTGGGCGTTCCGGAGAAACGGCGGGACCGCAGGCCTGCGCGGACACCAGGGCCGGAGCTGGGGACCGGGCTTCCGGCCAGCCGGTGGCTTTGTGACCGGGACAGCCTCTCGCCCTCTCTGAACCTCCGGTCGCCGCGAGTCAGCGCCGCCCTCTCAGGGCCCGCAGGGGCTGCGGCCGCGCCGGTTCTCGGGCCAGGGACTCTCGGGCCCGGGGACGGGGCCCTGGCCAGAGGCGCCGTCTGGCTGCTCCTGGGGCGGATCCCGGAGCGGGGTGGGGGGCCCTGCTGAGGACAGGGAATCTGGGCCCCTCCCCTGGGCAGGTGGGGCATCCAAATCGGGAGGCACCCGCCTTCCGGAAAACGATTCTGGGAGCCCCGGTGGGGCCAGGCCGGGGGGTGGGGGGCGTCTGCCTGCCAGCCTCCCCACCTGGGCTCGGCCTGGCCAGGGTGGGCCCCACCACAGCAGCAGGGCACCCCCACCGCAGCAGCAGGGCACCCCCCGAGGAGGGCCTCCCTGGCTCCCACGCCCCGGTCCTCGCTGGGGCCTTTCCTGTGTCTGCCCTGACCCTCCCGGCCGGGAGGGGGCCTCCCCCTCCAAGGCCCGTCTTCCGGCGGGGGGGGAGACGGACGACAGAGGCTTCACTCTTGACCTGCAGAGCCCTCGGGCCTGCCTCCCCTTGGCCTGCGCTGCCGGACGGGCCCCTGGTTCACCGCCCTCCCGCTGGCGGGCGTCTGCCCCGCCCCCAGCCCCTGGGTGGTGTTCCTTGTCCCCCTCGAAGGCCGCAGAACACGGAGCACGGTGACAGGGGGTGGACCTCTGGCAGCTCCGCGGTCGTGGTGGCCGGCCAGCCAGCCGGCCAGTCCCGGGCCTGTGGCTCTGATGCCCACATCCCGGGGGCGTCTCTCCGCCGACCTGCGTCCCTGGGAAACCAGAGCCGGTCCCAGGAGCCCCCCGACGAGGAGGGCCCCCCGCCCCCCGGGCAGGGGCCGTCGCCGGCTCTGAGGCTCGTCAGCACCACTGTCACATAACTGTCACAAAGCAGCGCAGGGGCCGGGAGGAGGGGAGGCGTCGGCCATAAACAAGGAGAGCGATTTAGCGGTTTTCAAGAGTCACCTCCAGGGAGAGCTTGCGAGGGGAAAATAACACTTTATCTGGAAACGATTCTGCTGAGATGCGGGCTCCCCTCCCCTCCGCTTCCCCCGCCTCCGTGACGCCTGCTCTGTGCTGTGATGTCACCGGCCTGCCGCGGCCCGAGCCAGGGGGGGCCCCTGAGGCCGGGCGGTCTGTCCTGGGGGGGAGGGCCCAGCGCACAGGTGCAGGGCGCCTCATTCTTGGGGCTCCCGGGGACAGACTCCCCGCGGCCTCCGTGGCGCCAAGTGGGCTCCGTGGGGAGGGGCCCGGAGGCCGGAGCAGGGGCCCGGAGGCCGGAGCAGGGGCCTCCAGGTGCGTCTCTGTGGAGTCTGTCTCTCGCCCCTTGGTTCCTGCCCAGGGCCATGCTGCTTTGGGGCCGCCCAGGCGCGTGGGGCGAGGCGGGGACAGGCTGCCCTTTGCCAGAGGAGGTTGGAGTGAGACGGTGCCGGGCCCGGGTCAGACCCCCGGCCAGAGGAGGGAGGTCGGTGGACCCTGGTGACGCCGACCCCTCGGGCTGCCGGTTCCGCCCGGCGACGGGCCGGGGCCAGCGCCTCCGTTTGCACGGTAATGCTGACTGTGTGCGCGCACTGACTGTGCGCTGATGCTCCCTGAACTTGCAGCGTCAGGGGGCGGGGCGGGGGGGCATATCAGGATGCGGCGCTATCTTGTGACTTTGCTCTGCATCTAAAATAACTCGAAAATAGAAACTTTATTTATTTAAAGCTGGAGGGAGGAGCAAAAGCAGAAGACAGAGAGGAGTCAGGACACAGAAGAGCAGCGAGAGGCACACACTGAGGGGCCTGGTCCCCGGTCCGGGGCAGGAGCCGGGAGCCCCCCTCCCCCAGGGAGAGCCCGGGGGTCCTGCTGGTCCTGGGTCAGCTGCCCCAGCCCCTGACGGGCCCTCGCCTGCGGCCAGCTCTCTAGGGCTTGGCCCCCTGCCTCCTGGGGGTGCCCTCCTCAGGCCCCCGCAGAAACCACTCGGGAACCCTGCTCCTCTCTGTTCCCCTTTCTGGACGGAGCAGAGCCCCCCTGGTCACTGTCCCTCATGGCTGTGGGACGTGGCCCGCGGGGAGGGGCCTTCAGAGTGTTTGTAGCGGGTGCACGTGGTTTAAATATGGTCTGACACGGGAGCCGGGACTTAAAGCCGGTGAACTTGAACTCGTCCCCCCAGGGGAGCCGCCGCCCCAGCACCCCTTTCCACCAGTCAGCTCTTGGGGGCTCCCCAAGCCCCACCCAGCTCCAGTTATCCCCCCCACCCCAGCTCCTCGAGATGAGCCCGTCTGTGGGTCCCCCCCGCACCCCTCCCCCGACCCACCCGAGAGAACAGTTTTCCCAAGTCCACCTCCAAGGACCACCAGCAGTCCGCAGCCTCCAGGAGTGTGGGGGGGCTGCTGTCTCACCCACTCGCTGTCGAGGTTGCCCCCACCCCGGCTGCTCGCTGTAAGGATGCGCATCGGGCTCCTCGCAGAGCCGGACGGGAAGAGCGGGGCCCCCTCGGACCTGACCTGACGGAGCCCCGTGCTCTCGGGGCTGCAGCCGGCTCTTCCCTGCTGCGCCCCTCCCCCGGCACGCTCGGCGCCCTTCGGGCGGGGGCCCCTGAGGACAGGTCCCCGGGGGAGGGGCTCGAGGCCAGCAGCTGCCCGGGGGCGGCCCCACGGCTCCACCCACGCTGCCCCCTCTGCGAGTCCGGCTCAAGCACCCCGGACGTCTGCTCGCGGCGCTAGAAACGTCTGCCGTGAAACCGCCGCTGGTTCGGAGGGTGCGGGGCCAGCGCTGGGGGTCGCAGGACGACACGATGTCCGCCTGAGCCCTGCCCCCCGCTGCCTCCCAGTCCCCGCGGGAACCCCCAGCGGGGGGACCGTCCCAGCCGGTTACGTCGCTCTGGAGGCAGACCCAGAAGGACTGGACTGACACCTGCAGCCGGACAGGGGTGGGCTAGTTGGCGGGGACCGTCCCCGGGTCCCCGGGACACCTCCGGGAGTCTGTGGACGCTCCGCCTGCCCCGGTCACCCCGGTCGGCCCTGCCCCCGAGTCTCCGTCCTCTGTGACTCCGTGGCCCCCGCAGGGTCCCAGCGCGGCGCGGCTGCCGCGCTCTGCGGGGCGCAGAGATGGGGGTCGGGGGCTGCCGGTTCCTGCTGCCTTTGCTTCTCGTGACAAAGTCCTCGCTTTGGCGAAATTGTGTCTTCCCTGCACCTGCGTCTCTCTCTCTCTCTCTCTCTCTCTCAGTATCCCCTCCAGAGTCCCACATGGGTGCGGGGAGGGCACCCAGGCCCTGCCGGACGCACCCCTTCCTTGAAGGAGGGCCGGGAGGGGCCCGCGGTGCAGCACCCACAGGCAGGGCGCTGGAGTGGGGTGCTCGCGTGCAGGAGGCCGCGAGGTGCGCAGGGTTTGGAGACTGGCACGGGACCCTCCTGGCCGGCAGTGACACTCTGGGGAAGAGGTTGGGGTCCCCGCGTTACAGATGCACCAGGAGACCTGGCGAGGCCCAGGCAGCCAGAACAGGGCTCCTCACGAGTCCCCACGAGGCCTGTCACCTCTGGGCGTCGTCACCGTGGTGATTGGGGCCACACCGAAGGCCGATAGCCGTGACCACCTGTCCACCTCTCCCTGGGCCGCACGCCCTGCTGGTCACCGGGGGACAGGCACGCCGCGTCCCCGCCGGAGCTCGAGGGGTGTTGTTGGGTGGGAGGGGTCCCTCGTCAGGTCAGGGGGTGGGCTTCCCCCGCCATCTCCCCCAGAATCTTCCCGGTCTGCGGCCCACGGCCTCCCGCCGTCTGGCCGCTCTGCAAACACAGCTATGAAAACAGCCCGTGTGCATGTTTGTTTTGCTCCGTCGTTTTCGCCGAGGGCGGGGCAGCAGGTACCCGGGCCCCGCCC